AACTCCTGAGCTCAAATGATCCTCCCGCCTTGGCCTCTCAGTACTAGGATTACAGGCGTGAGCCACCACGCCTGGCCGTAGCTGTCATTTTTTAAAAATACAGGACCCAGATTGAGATTGCGTAGTCGTTTCCTTGATTTAAACACTGGAAAGGCTCCCTGGTGAGACAGGACGGTGTGGCGCGGGGGGCGCGATGCCGCGGCGCAGAGCTCAGTGCGCTTTGGTTCCGCAGGCACCATGGCCGAGGAGACGGCCCCGGCGGTTCTGGAGCGGCACCAAGGGTCCCTGTACTCTCTCTTTCCCGACCACCAAGTGAAAAAGTACTTTGACCAGGTGGACATCTCCAATGGCTTGGATTGGTCCCTAGACCACAAGATCTTCTATTACATCGACAGCCTGTCCTACTCCGTGGATGCCTTTGACTATGACCTGCAGACAGGACAGATCTGTATGTACTTTCTCATTATTTTTCTCAATACTGCTGGTATTGTTTTCATATGTTTGTAACTTGGTAAGGCACCTCTCCCTCAACCCATGTGAAGAGGTCCTTCCTCCTCAAATAGAGAGCTTGCCCGTGACTTTATTCCAATATAGTAATGACGACACAGACTTGAGTGTTCTGCAATCAAACCATGGCCCTCAAGACAATTAACTATGGCCATAGTTGGCAGAACGTGGATAGAGCCATAACCCTCTTCCTTGCCATCGTCACCAGAAAGGAGCTCACTGTGAAAGGGATCCTGTTCCACCTTTTAGGAGGTGCCTAAAAGCAAATAATACACAACAGAATGGGAGAAAATTAGAATTTGGGGTTGATATTTTTAATTTGTACTGTAGTTAGCCATAGGCAAGTACTGAGAGGCAAATTACCAACCTTTCAAAATGGAAAAGCAAAAAAAAAAAAAAAAAGTAATTGCAGGTTGTCCAATCCATAAATGTGCTTTAAATGAGCTATAGTTGGAAACTGGGAGGGAAGGAATTATCTAGAAGAATTTAGAAGGGAGTCCTTGAAACTGTTCCGTGAAAGATGCCAAACCAAAAGAGCAAAACCGATAATAAAAATGACTTGCAAAAAAGCACAAGACTCTCCACACAGATTTCATCAGAGGCAAACTATTCCAGTACAAAAGTCTTGCTTTGAAATACGTAGTACTCTTTTTTTATGACTGTTTTTATCCATTTTCCCTGCACGTGGTTTTAACATTTTTCCATTATACCTCAATTTAATTACTGTAGTGACCTGGATTTTGTAGCACAAAATTCCCCTGGATTTTGATATTTGTTTTTTGTATACTGTGGATCCCCTTTTAAGGCCGGCAAGTTCGTTTCGGAATGCCCCTCCTATCAGAAATAAGCTCTTCTAATATTTCGTCTTGATTTTGGAGCATTCAGTCAGGCAGGAAAAGAAACTCATATATCTTACTAGTTTTTGTGTATGAACTGTTCACATGGACCATTAAGTTGCCTTATAGATCTGGAGTTAATTAGTAGGCATTTTGGTAACTGAACCAGCAAAGGTCTAACCACAGACCGACATGAACTTGAGATGGCTGCACAGGGCCTCAGCTCAGGTCAGCCTCAGGAAAAAAAAAAAAAAAAAAACTATTGATACTTTAGTGAGAATTCTGCTTTTCTGTTTTCTCTCCTCCTCTGAAGGCTTCGACAGATATGTCTGTACCCAGACAAAAGAGAGGGAACCCACCCCAAATCATGCAGTGAAAATCTTTTGTTCACAGGCCAGACACTAGATAAACCCAAGTCATCGGTGTTTATAATCAGCTTGGGAGCTCAGTGTTTGATGCTCAGCATTGAGAGGACTGTCATTTTGTTGTTTTGGTTTTTGCTTTTGTTTTTGTTTTTGTTTTTCAACCATAGCCAACCGCAGAAGCGTTTACAAACTGGAGAAAGAAGAACAAATCCCAGACGGAATGTGCATTGATGTGGAGGGGAAGCTCTGGGTGGCCTGTTACAACGGAGGAAGAGTGATCCGTTTAGATCCAGAGACAGGTAGTCCCATGGCACAGTGAAAAATCATGTCTAGGAAACATGAGACACTAGGGACTGGGGAAACCTCATCGCTAATACAGTGAGACACAAATGCAGTGGTCTCAACTGAACGATTTCAGAAATAAAGGCCACAGCTACAGCCCCAAATTTATAGTCACAACTTCTTTTCCTATGGAGGTCTTTTTGCTCAAGATAAATTGTCAGGGAAGGTAGGTTAATTATTAACTACCTGGATGAATTCTGACCTCCACAGTCTTCTTAGAACTTCCCTATTGCTCCACAAAGGGTCCAAATATGTTGCACAGGTTGGAAACTGCTGGAACTGCCTCTGCTGGGGCTCCTGCAGGAGGGATGTGGCTACCGTCCGCAAGGTGTTTGAGAGCAGAGCCCTGGGAGCCAGACTCCCTCGGATCCGAATCCCATTCCCCCACCTCCGTGTTGTGTGATGGCCAAGCGGTTCCATAACCCTTTTAAGCTTCTGCTTCTGGGCGGGGCTTTAAATAAACTTTAAATAAATATTTGGTGGTCTAGGGAAAACACTTCAAACTGTGAAGTTGCCTGTCGATAAAACAACTTCGTGCTGCTTCGGAGGGAAGGATTACTCGGAAATGTATGTGACCTCTGCCCGGGATGGGTTGGACTCCGAGAGTCTTTTGAGGCAACCTAAAGCTGGTGGAATTTTCAAGGTGATACGGCTATTTCTTTTAATTTGGGGGCCGGGTGGGGAAATCTTCTGTTAAGTAACTGAGTGATTGGTACTTTTGCATACTTCCAAAACATAATTCTATTTAGCATGTTAAGCTCATTGTATTAGACTTAAAACATTTTATCTAGATTTTCTAGACTGTAAGTTATATGAAGTTAAGATAATATGTTTAGCCTACTTTGTACAATACTTTACATTTTTTTTTTTTGCTTCAGTAGTGTTCGTTGAAATTCTTCACATCAGTAGAACAAGCTTGGAAAACCAGTATTTGAAGCATGTTTATAAGATCACTTGATTGTTTTGATACCATAACAATACTTTCAGGTTTTAACATTTTTTGCAACAGAACAAATGCTAATAAAAATTAGACCTTTTGAGCTTAAAAGAAATGTAGAAATGTAGAACGCCCTTTTTTAACAGATGGGAGATGATAGAAATAAATTCAGGTTTAAATCCAAGTTAGTTGTAAATGGTTGCTAGCTGAATTATAGTCTACATGAATGATTGGGTTGGATCATAAATACCTAATCAAGTAATTCCTTTTTTACAATACGGAATAAAACAAGGATAGTAGGTGGCTAAGTATATTATTATGAATCATAAACATGATTTTGAAGAATGCCTGTGAATTACCTTTTGCCAGAGTTTCCTTCTTTTCTGTTTTCAACAGATAACTGGTCTGGGGGTCAAAGGAATTGCCCCCTACCCCTATGCAGGGTGACAACAGGTCTGCTTTGCTGCCAGAAGAAGCTTTGAAGACAACTAGAGAATTCTCGGGCTAGAATTTCAGTCTACTTAGAAAGAAGAGCAAAGCAATCATATTATTAACAGGGTTAAAATTTTAATTAATTTACAATTTTTAAAAGGCAGAGCATTTTTAATAAGAGGTGACAGGTGGTTTTGTTAACACACTATAAAGCTTCAGTAAAAGATACTATAGAAGTGCAAAAATTGTTCGACTGCCAACCAGCCTCTTGATTCCTTGAAAATTGCTTTGTGGGGGGGCGCATATATCTCTTCTTTATTCTGCATTTCATGCTATACCTAAAGCTTCAAAAAAACTAATAAATAGTAACCTGGTAATGACCTATTACAATCATGATCCTTTTTCTTTTCATCACAATCTTATAAAAATATATCATAATGCTAACCTACTTTGATATTGCACTTTCTATATGTTATTTTACAAACTGAAAATACTGCTGGAGGATGAGAAGCAAATACTCTGGCAAAATCAATGGTTCCAACTGCCACCTAGTGGACATAAAAGAAAATATATCACTT